TTCTTCCTATTGGGGAGTGTTGTACATGCTGCTATGGCGGTGTGTCCACTCAAAAGATGAGTGGCGCTGCCCAATAAACTACCCCCTCGGGGCAAAATTTAAAAAAATTAAAATTTAGTAAAGGGGGGTACGGTTAAATCATGAACAAGTTTAGTATTTGACAGCAGGTTTTCTAATGATTTAAGGCAGTACATATACAAGTTACAGTATTTTTAAAGGATATAGGTTAGTATTGGATAAGGTCTGACTAGGCAATATAAAATGCATTCGAACAAGAATCTTAGAGTACTAATTGACCTGTATTTAGTACTCTTGAGTACTAAATATACTTAGTACTTAGTTTTCTCATCCACATAGTTTAAAGAAAGCCAAATCATATTTTTGTTCCCAACACTTGTGTACGTGACATTCCACATCCTGTGTTTAGCTTGGTCTGGCCTCGGCCAGCCTGCGTAGCTCTGCTTGCTTGACACCTGCTTGATGGGGTTCTGGGAGTTCTTCCCAAGCCCGGCCCGAGGCCAGGCTTGTGAGAGTTTGGTCCACTAGGCTGTTGTTTGGAGCGGCCCGCAGGCCCACATATCTACCACAGCCCGGTTGGTCCGGCACTTCTTGGAGAAAATGATCTAGTTTTCTCTTGATGTCCACGGTTGTTCCGGCAATATTTCTTATACTCAAGGAGGATGTTGAACAACCGTGGACCTCTGATGTTTATACAGTGTTCTCTGATTGTGCCTATGGCACCCCTGCTCTTCACTGGTTCTATTCTGCATTTTCTTCCATATCGTTCACTCTAGTACGTAGTTATGTAACTGTAGATTTGGGTCCTGGCCCTCCAGTATTTTCCATGTGTGTATTATTTGGTATCTCTCGTCTCCTTTTTAGTGAGTACATTTGGAGAGCTTTGAGACGATCCCAATAATTTAGGTGCTTTATCGCGCCTATGCGTACCGTATGTTCTCTATTCTCTCTATTTCAGCAATCTCTCCTGCTCTGAAGCCCAACCACTTGGGTTGGGCGGTAGAGCGACGGTCTCGCTTCATGCAGGTCGGCGTTCAATCCCTGACCGTCCAAGTGGTTGGGCACCATTCCTTCCCTCCCCCGACCCATCCCAATTCCTTATCCTGATCCCTTCCCAGTGCTATATAGTCGTAATGGCTTTCCCAACAATTCCCTTCCCTTCCCTTCCCTTCTGCTCTAAAGAGGGAAGTGAGTACTGCGCAGTACTCAAAGACGGAACAGCACAAGTGATTTGAATAGTACAACCATTGTGATGGGATCCTTGGATTTGGAAGTTGTTGTAATCCATCCTATCCTGTTGCCTGTTCACTAGTTATTCCACAACGTACAAACTCCCACTTCCTAATTTTACTTGATGCGCACGAGCCCAAGCCTCCATTTAACCAATCGATGCATAGAAAAAGAGCATTTTTGAGCATCTTTTCATAGCATACGTACTATCGGGCAGCACTCCGTCTTTTCATCTAATATGAGGTTATGGTAACCCACATTATCATATGGCTACTACATGAGAATTTATAGCCAGTATACCTATGACAGATTTTTCGGTAGACTGGCAAATCTTGGACTCCTTAACGCTTCTTGCCATTTTTCTTTCGACAGTTCACCTGAATGGTAGTGAATGATGCGTATGTTTTGACATGGTGGGCATTGTCATGCCAGGAAGCTTGAGGGTGCGTGGGATAATGCAAATATTGCAACTGGCACAGTTGCAATATGCCTGGCCCAGGCATAGTCTATCAGGCATTTAACTTTACAGCTGTATGGCGAGTGAGAGTAGCGACGATTTTCTGGGAAGCCCCTAATTTAATTTTTGTTCCAAAATATTATAACTCCACATGATTTACTATTTTATTGAATTGTCTGTACTGTAAAAGTGAAAATGCTCACTTTTTTATGCTTTATGCTGTGTAGAAGTGCAAATTTATTGGATAAGGATACTTTTTTTTTTTATTCTTGCATAAATGAATTAGCTTTTATCACAGGCCTGTTGGTCTAATGTTATGCTTTTCTAGATGATGATTAGATTGGTTACCATATTTGGAGTGCCAAGTTGACTTTAGTCACATCTTTATGTATTGGGACATTTTAGGCTAGACCAGGTTAGATTATATATATTTTTTAATATGGCACGAAATATTTGCTTAGGGTTTTCTCTCAAATTATGCACTCATTCCTATCCCGTGTTCAAGTACGTTTATTGAAACCATAAAATGTACATATCAGAAGGATAGAGAGGCTATTTCCACCCGTGTGCGGTGGTGGTTGTAGAGGCATTTTAGGTTGATGAAGAGGCATGGATTCTGGAAATGAACCCCATAGTTCATCTAGCTAGCAGTTTTGCGAAGCCAGTTCCACAATTTTGTTTTGTTTACATATGCATATTGATCAGGGTACAGGATAGTAAATTTGTCTCCACAGCTTAGTGACGGTACATTAATGCCATACTTTCTAATGTCTGTGGAACATATATTTTATATTGTGTGAACTAAATACAATATACAGTAGTTAAAAGTAATGACTTGATTATGTGGAGGCTTGAAAAGTTAGGCTAGGGTTTTTTTTTTGTTAAAAAAAATTCAGTATGTTGCACTTTACAAATGCGCGGTTATTATACAATGATTGATCAGAAAATGAAACTAGTGAGTGTTATCTGGGGAAAATGAAATTAGGCCATTGTGTAAATCTGGACATTTGCAAACTTGCAGTGTGTTTTCTAGGAAGTAATTGAGACTGGCGGGAATGATGAACCTTTAAGATTTTGTTCGTATAGTCTTATGGAACACTGCTATTTGGATACTAGTCAATAGAGCCATGATATACAATAAATAGGACAAGGATGATGTAGCCTAGTGTTGCATGACCTGGCAGTGTTTTAATACCCAAATACCGTAACTCTCCATGGAAGTGTCTGCCTTCACCTAAAACTGCAGCACCAGAGGGTTTATTTTCTTTAAAGAACATGCAGTTTGCATGAAGGTTTTCTCCTCCCGAATAGAGAAGAAAACCTTTTTTATATTCAAATAATATACCCGTAATTTGGATAGTCATATTCAAATGACAGTATCTGATAAATCCACAATATTTAAGATTCCTAAGGTGAGTATTACTACATTAGTCATGATTTTCGAATTATGAAAGCCACTGGGCATTGATAATCGGTTCTCCATTTTTATTCAGTATTACAAAACTTGAAAAATGTGTGAATCTATTGGTGCGATAAGTTTGTCCAGCAGACTGTTGCTTGGAGTGGCCTGCAGGCCCACATATCCACTACATTCCTGTTAGTCCAAGACCTCTTGAAGGAGCGTTGCCAATGCATGTTTAAGGCCCGAGAGTTTGTTTCCTGTTGTGTTGTCATAATAGCACATTGGCAGCTTAACTGGCTTGAAACCCCTATGCTGCAGAAGCAGCCCCATTCTTGTACTTTCCTTTAGGCTAATGCAGTTAGCCTAAAGGCTAACTTTTCGCAGTTAGCTTTAGGCTAACAACAATAATTTATTCATTATTTTCTTTACCTTTATATAGGTTTTAGAATCTTTAAATCTGACCTGCTTTATCCAGTGGTAGATCTACCATAAAAAAATCAATTTGACAAAATGCTTTGTTATTTTGTACTAAAATGCTCTAGGTAACTTAACATCATCCTAGAAGTGTTCCCAGTGTATTGTATATTGAAATAAATCCTAGACGTATACATCTAGGAAAAATCCTAGATGTATAAATAAATCCTAGACGTATACATCTATACATACAGGAAATGTTTTATTTTCAAAATACAATGGCCAATGCCCCTAATTTTTCACACTATAGTAATAGATTTCTCGGTTGACATTTTTCGCTTGTGCCATTTTTAATAAATGTTAACAATTACTATTAATGTTTCAATGTAACAAGCGTCAACAGCCACTAATTATTTCTGTAATTTAGGCTCACCGTATTTGGATGGCATTTTCCTTGTTATTGCCATCAGAATCTTGAGTTTTTTGGGTTGTAGGCATGTTGATGACCACTTCACGTACAAGGTCAGGGCAGCTGCACATTGCGGTTGCCATTGAAGTTGAGCAGGTGCACAATGCGGTTGCCATTGAAGCAGCGCAGCTGCCACAGTGCGGTTGGCATTGAAGTAGATTAGATACTTCTAAACAACTAAACGAAGGATTAGATTGCAGTTAGTTTCCTACTCTGTTGCCGCTTCAAAAATTAGCGATTAGCTTAGTATTGGGACGAGGTTTATCTTTATCAGCCCGCATCAGTGTTTGTTGACTATAGGCTACCTCTGTTTAGTACCTCTGTTTAGTACCTCTGTTTAGTACCTCTGTTTAGTACCTCTATTTAGGGCTTACCGCTTTTGGCACATGGTTTCACAGCAGTTCATCCTCCTGTTTTGGAAGTACTTATAATAACGATGAGGATCATAGTATATATATATACCGACATACAACGAAATTAGAACGTAGAAATCAGAACCATTGAATTAGACAAACCGGAAAATTATTTTTTTTAACCCGTGTTGCTTTGACAAACTAAACTATCCTAACCTCCCTAGGCCTAATACGATATCTGAGGCCTAATATAGTACACGTGTGCTATACTAGGCCTAGGAATATCTAAGTTGGTGTTTTAGCTTCATTTATTTTTAAATAATAACTTACTGGTAGATATTCGACTGTCTAAAAGCTAAAATGTACGAATTCTGAACAAATCCACAAGGGCCGTGACGAGTGTTCGAACCTAACGTCCGAGAGGATCCCAGACGCTGTCTTAATCGACTGAGCTACGACATGGTAAAAGAATTGCAACCAGGAAATCATCATGATTTACCAACGGATCCTGCAGTCTCTCGAGACGGTCTCTTCCTTGTGTTAGGAATTCTGACTATGGACGATCGTCACAATAGGCACTATCTAAACAGGAGGATGGGTTGTTCAGTTAATAATGTTCAGTCTACAGTGCCTTAATGTTTTGATGTGGTGTTGCAGGGCCTGATGACAACGTTGATGATGCCGAGCGATTACGGTGTGGAGATGTTCCTTGGGTCGTCCCCTGTGCTGACCTCGAGTTACCTGGCCTCCCAACCCTTCATGCATGATTATCCCAGACTGACGCCTCTGCAGGCAGTTCCCTTGCAAGCAACACCGGTACAAGCAACGTCTTATCAGTCCATGCCCCTTCATAGCTTCTGGAGCAGCAACGGTCAGTCATGCGGCTCTTCAGTCAGCAAGAGCGATTATGATAGCCATATATTGCCGTTATCATGCAGTAATGGCTTCAGTGTGGGAGGCAGTTTTAGGTAAGTCGCTGCAGCTCGGCAATCTAGAAAGAAACTTAAGACTACTTTTTGAGAGACAAAGTTAATTGAATGACAATAAAGTGACTTAAAATTGATAACTATGAAACAAATGGATGAACTATAATTATTGGTCATGTTGTTGACCTACAGGTCCAGTGGTCGACGATCCTCCCCAACCAAAAAGAAAGCGCAGATACCACCTCTCCTTCCTATAAAGTCATGTCTGGTGGCAAGGCAGGAGGAGGAACAAGAGGAAGGTGCAGTCTCCCCAACCCGACTAAAGAAGAAGGTTGTGTTTGCCGACACACAAGGACACCCACTCACGGAGGTTCGCGTTCTCACAGAACGTCCAGATTGTCCTCCAAGATGGTCTGCAGACTTCCTTGAACAGGTAGGGCTCATTACCAAGGAGAAATGCAAATTCTTGGCCACCAAAATTGCTGTCGTGTCTACACATGCCTTTGCAAGCATTTTATTGTTTGCATTGCTGTCACGAATGATATTGAATGGGGGGATAACAAATGGAATTTAAGACAAAGTAGTTTGGAATATTTGATTTTCTAACGATGCTATGAACTGAATTAAAATTTATAATATTGTTTTATTTCTTCCGGTTGTGTCTCAGGTGACAGGAGGCGCCAAGGCAGAGGCGGTGTGTGACCAGTGGGAGCTAGCGTTTCCTCAGCCAGCTTCTGACTACATGGGCATGAAGGCACGATTGGAAAAGCACAATGTATCTTTGGAAAATGTTATCATTAGGGAATCGGAAAGCAGAGTACAAGGCACAGTCAAGGTAAGTTAATATGCGTGTGTGGTCACACTGATATACAGTACTGTACCTATAATAATGTGCTCAAGTATATTTAATAAAAAATAAAATAAATTTATTGTTTTGTTACTCTTAATCATGTATGTTAACTAAACGTGGCCTTTTCCTTTCTTTCCAGGTCCGAAACTTGTCCTTCCACAAAAGTGTTTATATTAGATTCACTATAAACAACTGGACTTCATATGAAGACATTGAGGGGGAGTTCGTGCCCTCGCTCACCACAGCCACAGGCGCCTCGTACAACATCTACGATACCTTCACTTTCAGTCTGCCACTGCCAGGTTCCACTCAAGCTGACAAGTTAGAATTCTGTGTGTGCTTCAGAAGCGATAAAGGGGAGTTCTGGGACAACAACAAGAAGAAGAACTACGTTATAGTATCCTTCAGACCAAAGACCACGCCCCAGGAGTCTAAACCCAAAGATATTTACGATGTTACCCTAGATTCATGGACAGAGTTTGCTTCTTGGACCCATTTAGATATCAATGACTCGCCATATTGGTGAACACATGAAAGAGGGTTCGAGATGATGGAACAAAGTGGTCGAACCCCCATACTGCGATACAGAGATAACAGTGGTCTGGTGGTGCTACTTGTGTAATATTTTGTCAGTTTATGCATAAGCCATATTACTTATGGTTCATTAAAGCAGTGATAAAGACCATGTGTTTGTACATGTACCGTTATACTACATGATAGGAGTGGCTCGGAATTAGTGGCTGAAAAGAATTGCTTGACTTAAGTGACCACGTGGTGGTGGTGGAGGAGGAACTACTTGCCTATTGTCATCACTAATGTCACCAGCCTACTCCCCTATGACCGGCATTAGTGTCACATTGGGCAGGGGGCCATCACCCACCCACCCTGCTACCACTGTCGTAATGAAGGAATGGGTGTTACTCAAGTGGCGACTAAGTTCACCCATGGAACCGTCTTCATCAGCAGCCTCTCATTCGCCATGCCTTCCAGTTACCATCTGCCGTTGAGCTTCATTGGATCCCAGAAGCAGGATGTCCATGCACAAGACAGGGGAAGATCTTGTTTGTGGGACAAGAAAGATGCTTTAGGTGAGTGTTTCTTATCGAGCATTTTCAAATTCATGCATAACATTTTTACCAAATGTAGTTACTGTTTTCACCTAGTTGTAGATCCAGTGACTCACTTTCAGTAATATGCCTAACCTTTAAACTTTGACTAGTGTACAGTAGTTGTTTTCCTTCTCCCTTGTTCTGTCGTGCTCAATTTTGAGCCCATGTATGAGAACTGCTGCCACACTTACCATTCCATTTGTACACCACTGTTACACTGTAGTAGCCTTCCTAGTTTTGTTGGGTCGTTGACTTTCCATCTGTATTCTCTTGTTCTGGTTCAGTTTAGCTCTCGTCCCCACAAGCCTCGTGTATTGACTGGAGATCGTGGGCAGAGAAAGTTGATTAAGCGCTAATTCCATGGTAATGTTAAACGTGCTCATTTAATGTAAGGTAATTATCAAGACTGCGCGCTACGTCAATACGACTATATAGCACTTGGAAGGGATATGAAGATAAGGATAACCATAAAGATTGCATTTAAATATATACAAATGAACGCAGAATGAACTTAAACTAACGTGAAATGCTCCTTGCCGGTTTATGCTGCAAGCATAAAATACTGTTTAATTAATGTTCATCCTCCTACCAAATATAAGAAAAGGAAGTGTTAAACAAATTGATAATCTGCAGGAAGTGCCGAAGCAACCGGGATACCGTAAGGCAAGCTTGGCCCCAAGCCAATTGGAGAATCATAACCAACTATTATATAAATGTCAGAGAACGTCCACACTACCTTGTCAATGCTCTGTATATGTGTAACCCATGACTGGTGGTAACTAAAACTTGGCTAGGTTACCACAATTGCCATTCGCGTCGTTCGTAGATATGGAATGATAACGTAATATGTGAGGAATGGGCACAGGGAGTGAGGTTGGCAAGTGGCCTCACTGGCGCCCAGAATAGCAGGTATCTTAGGCTGTGGGAGCTGCGTCGGATGCCAACCACTCTGGCGGCATGATACTGTGGGTGGAAGACACTGGGAGAGGCTATTTTATATACATTTTTCAACCCATCCTTCTAAAATGGTGCAACTAGTCGAATGTATAAAAATAGTTACAGCCAATAGTGTTCGAATTTTGTATTGTAATAATACCTCGGTATAATTAATTGGGCCAAGTGAAGAAGTGGGGGAGGCTATTATATGTACATTTTTCAACCCATCCTTCTAAAATGGTGCAACTAGTCGAATGTATAAAAATAGTTACAGCCAACAGTGTTCGATTTTTGTATTGTAATAATACCTCGGTATAATTAATTGGGCCAGTGAAGAAGTCATGGTATTATCCTGAACTTTTGATTAAACTCGTGTAGATTAATATATTGGTAATAATTCGCCGAGGACAAAGTATAAACGCCGTGCCAGCGGTTCCGGGTCATTGCAACATGTCTGCAACTTCCACAATGTTCCGTTGCAAGACAGGCAGTTGTGATTTATGGTTACAATAAACATTTGCATTATACCATGAATAAATTTGATTCCTGTATACGCGCTCATGTGGTTGCAAGAATCGATTGATGTAATGATCTCGTATTGTCATACCTACACTGCAGTTTTTTGCAAGGAGTTAAGCTTCCAGTTTCTAGTGTCGGCTGGGCACACCAGGCGGTAGTGGCTAAGAGTCTGGTGGGAGTCGTCAAGGTCGTCCCTGACCAACACCTGTTTGGAGAGGTTATAATCTTAACGGATTTTCAAGGACGATGTGTTTGCCAGTACCAGTTAATTATCTGCACTTCCGCCACAGTTCCGTTTTTTTTAGCGCGTTACTTACTGCTTGATATTTAGTGTAGCGAGAAGGTTGTCGAGAAGAGGAGGGGGATAGGAGAGACCAGAGATATGAATGAGGGTATTGGTAATGGGTGGGTGTGGGTAGCCTGAGGGCAGGACAGGCTGCTGCCCTGGCCCCAGATTCACGAAAGCACTACGCAAGCACTTAAGAACCTGTACATCTTTTTACAATCTTTGGCGGCTTTGTTTGCAATTATTAAACAGTTAATGAGCTCCGAAGCACCAGGACGCTGTTTATAACAATAACAACAGTTGAATGGGAAGTTTTCATGATTGTAAACTGTTTAATAAATGTACCCAAAGCCGTCAAAGATTGAGGAAAGATGTACACGTTCGTAAGTGCTTGCGTAAGTGCTTTCGTGAATCTGGCCCCTGGGTAGCGTGTCGCGAGGCTCCAGCTAGGTGGTATGTTGGCTGCGGTAAACATTTGTCAAAGCGATCCAGCTAAGGATACAAGTATAGAGAGTTCACACACCCACACATGTATACATACATATACACGTGGACGTGTACGCACGCACGTACGTATTCACGTGCATTCGAGCCCGGTGGTTCAACTAAACCATTGCAAGAACCAGTTTTTAGATTTAGCTGCTCAGAACGAAATGTCCATGTAGCACGGGCTATGGTGAGCCCGTAATGCAAGAGGCAGTATGAGGGCTCCATGTGAGCTACCCCGGGCGAGATGATGATCCGGGCAAAAGCGTCACGCGGACTGGAGGGGGGGGGCATGTAAGGGCATTACCCAGAATGAGGGGGGCGTACAAGGACGTCACCCAGACTGGTTGGGGGGGGGGGCGTACAAGGACGTCACCCAGACTGGTTGGGGGGGGGCGTACAAGGACGTCACCCAGAATGGTTGGGGGGGGGGCGTACAAGGACGTCACCCAGACTGGTTGGGGGGGGACGTACAAGGACGTCACCCAGACTGGAGGAGGGGGGGGGGCGTAGAAGGACGTCACCCCAGACTGGGGGGGGGGGGGTAGAAGGACCTCGCCCAGACTGGTTGGGGTGGTCGAGCAAGGGCGTTACCCACATATCATAGTGGTTGAGATTGTGAAACTTTTATCTTGATATTCATGTTTACTTAGATATTTTAAGAGACGCTGGGGGTTAGTGGAGTTTCAACACCCACATAAGAAGACCAGTTGACCCACCTACACTGTTAGCCACACCCACCATACACATACACAACGCGAGTACAGCATTTTTTAGGCCTACAGATATTTTATAAATAGCATGCGGGACAGCCATTATTTTGAATCTTTTGAAATACAGTACATATATATTTAAACCAAACACTGAATAGGCAAATACACACTATTTGTGCATTGAAACATGCTACATAGCACAATGTACGTTCATGTATTCTTTCTTCTCACAGAAACGTAGATTCTGCTAGTCATGTCAGCGCCCCTGTCTTGAGAACCTGCACGAAGAAAACACCCTTGAAACCTTTCTCCGGAAGCTCTTGAAACTCATCGCTCCCTCCATGTCCACCGCCCAAGATATCCACTGTTAATGTGACGGGTCAAGGTCCAAGACTCTTTAAGAGACAGTTACAGCCGAGCACTCGAATGTCTTATGTAGGAGGAGTCTTGGAGATACTATTAGTTAAACTGGTAATGAAGCTGAGCTACTGGATCAGGGTAGTACCTTGTGGTATAGGACCGTGGACTGGATCAGGGCAGTACTCTGCGGTGAGATTTTAGAGGGATTGATGACCATGTGACTAGGCTTTGCAAGATACAAATAAAACAAAAAAATTTATTACACGGAATTTCAGACCTATTTATTTGTAGAAAGTGAAATAATACAAACAAATAACATAATTAGTGTTGTAATAGAGGAATAAGGAATGGAATTTACCTGATATAAATTTATCTGTGATAGAGTACACTGCTGATTGTGTACTGATGTGATTGCTGAATGAATTTGGGGGCAACTTGTCCAATGAACTTGAAGATTGGGTACTCGTGCATTGTTTTTTTGTGATGTTTTATGTGCATATGTAAGAAGTGGGTGTAGGTGGGAGATAGCTTTGGTTTCTTGTACCCTTGTGTTTCTGCAAGTAAATATGACTGTCTTGCAATGGTGCAACCATCATTCAACCGGTGTCTTAAGACGCACACCACTTGGTACACGAAACCTTATCTTAAATATTCACTCTGAAATTCTAGTATGTAACAGTATGTATACTGCTGGTGTGTGTCGCACATTACACTGTAGTAGTCAACCTCATGACCTAGATATGGTTAATCTTGCACGAGGACTTGAGATTCAATTAATGTGAAGTTCGGTAGTCAGCGTTAGTTCATTCTTATTTCAAACAAATATCGAGTGAAAAGGTGGCATAAACTTGTGTTCTCATGCTGAAAATGAATGTGAATCTCCTGTCCAGTATATTTTTGTTGTTAGCTTTGTTGAAAAGTAAATGGTACAAAACATTACCAGTTACGTCCTATTACTTATCGGGTAGATCCAAGGTATCACTTGGTAATTGTGTTCTTTATGCCTTAGATCAGTTAGCATGATTAAGTTTTAATGTTCGATTATCTAATAGCCACAGCATTAACTTGAGTTCCTGGAAACAGTGCCTTTCGTAAAAGCAAGGAGACGATGAATTTCTGCCACTTACAGATGCATTTTCTCCTGGTAAATGAAGAGTATCATTAGCCATCGTATGTATATATGGATATGGGTTTAAAGGTTCATGTTTGGTATTTCACTGTGACTTCGTAATATGTTTATCAGTGGCAGCTGATGGAGTGTAAACACTTCGTGATCTCGGTTGGTGTTGGGTATCTGCGAGCTGGGGTGCATAGGAACTCAAGATGATAGACATAGCTTTGCCTGCATTGTATGGGGGCTTTAGATGTAAGAGTTTGATCACTGCGTGCTAGTAATGAGGCTATACTCTAGCTGGGCCTACTATGACTGTGTGCCAATAAAAATGTCAAGTTTTAATGCAGAGAAGGCTGGGCTCATCAGTGGCAAAGCAGTAAAACTGCTATACATATATATATACAGTATATACATATAACGTATATAAGCTATAATGTAGTGTGTGTATTGCTACATTTTTCTGTGGCCCACCATTATCCAGTACATAGTATAGGCATATAATGTGTAGATATAAATACATAATTAATGTTTCCATGTTCACGAGCAGTGCTCTGCAGCTGTCCAACATGGATTGTGGGAATATAGATTTAATTCATGCAGTTACCTCAGAACCTGGAAATTTATCCTCCTTGTAAAATCATTCAAATAGAGAACTATCCAAGTTACCACGAGACTATCATAGTTACCAGCAGCAAGAGGCTGTTTGTAGGCAGAGGTGGGAGCCCACCATACATCTAGTCCCTGAAATGTCTGGTATGGTCGTGTAAGGTTGACTTCAAGGTTGAGCATAACACTTCATACAAGTTGTTTTGGCTGTATTTAATTCAGTGTGGGTAAAGATGTGGCCTTGTGATCTGTTGTAGGATATTTTAAGGAATAACAAATCCAATGTCTTTAGGGGGAAAAAAATGTAATACAGTAGTGTTAAGATGGCTTGCAAGGACCCATTATATATTTGACACACAAGCCCAAGATCGCTTAAGTTTATAAGGTAATTTAAATATTGTGTTGCAGAACTATTTAGGGGTTATGTTGTTCTATCAAAAGATTGTATGGTTGGGAGGTTGTGTATATCCTTAAAGGAGGAACGACAGTTTAACACAACCCCTTGTGAATGGCTTGTGTGCTTAAGAAGGGTCTTAACTAGATGTTTGGTGTGTGCAGAAGTACATGCAAGGCTGCGAAATATTAAGTGTGCGTGCGAGCGTGTCAGTGTGCCAAACTATAGTAAATATTTTTGTAATTCGGCCAACTGTAGAAGAGTTGCAGGTGATTGTTGTTGTGGAAATGAGGGAAGTGTTTCTGTGGAAATTACTCCCATTAATGTCCTTCCAAAATTATTGTTGTTGCTCAATATGTACCCAGAGTTCCTTTGGTGAATGTGTCTCCTTTGTTTTGTAGTTAATCCCGTGTATAGAGCAGCTTGCATGCGAGTGGGTATGGCCTCGATTGATGATGCCTCACTTAATCCCATCGAGAGTATGTGAACCACTTAAACTATTCTCTCCCTCGAGGCTGTCTCCACTTCAGTGAGTGCTCTCACACACACACACTCTGTTGCTGCTGTATAGCCTTAAGTTAAACATCCGAACCACTGTTATAATTATTATTATGATGAATGTGTTTTAGCATTTTTAAAACATTACCGTTTCTAGTTGTACATAGATTTTTTTTTCCTGCAAAGCAACCTCCATGAATGATAAATTATCTGAACTAGGTATTTCTTGACCTTTGTGGATGCTGTTCTTTGCCTGCAATCCTATATTTTTGGTTGTGTTGATTTTATATATGTCATTGAGAATATTGCAAACAGTGGTGATATTCACACTGATACATGTAATTAGAACAAAATATTCTTAAATTTACAAGATAATTGTTTCAATCTTGGCTATTGAAGAGATTGTAATTATTTTACATTGCACGATATTTTATGATTTTGCAAACTACTAATAAACACACTTATGTGCCTATCAATTTGATTTATTTATCAAACAAAACTAGATTATTATCGCCCCCATTTTATCCGCTCTTAATGAAGATAGAGCATGAGCCATCCAATTATAGCTGTGCCCTCCTTATCTTCCTTCTTAAATCCCTTTACCCAACAATTGTGAATATTTGTTTAATAGCTATTCTCGCATTTCAACCCCTACTGTAAATACCCAATTCCAAGTATTTACAGTATGTACATTCTTGTATTCATGTAGTTAGTGGGTGTTAAAATTACTACAGAATACAAGTGCTACATGATTAGCTTCTGGCTATATAACACATGAACCAGCTGACTTGCAGATTTGTTGTGTTTTTGGTAATTCATATCTAGCGGAATGCCTTGTACAGTCGTGCTAGTTCCCTTGCTCAGTGTGTACGTTTGGCTTTGTTGCAAGTAACTTTCATAATTTACTAGAAAATTTGCTGTCATTTTTATTATAATCATTGGGGTTTTGTCTAAAAAGTGGATGCCAAGTCGCAATGGTTTCTCAGTCAACCACAAGAATCCTGCTAGGCATATCGAGGTCCCCCCCCCCCAAGGTTAACCACTACATGAGATGCAACCCTGCAACAGTTGCCTAACTGCAGAGTACCTATTATAAATGCTTCTATATAAATAGAAGTATTTGCTGAAAGTGAACGTGTCCAGCCTTGTTGGGGATAGAGTCCAGGATCATCAGTTGTGAGCAGGGATATGGAAAGACAGCAGTTACAAATTAACTAATATGATGATGAATCTGTTCACAAGTTCCCATATGTATGTATATCCAGTGAGCACAAACGTCATCTTCTTGAGGTTATCTTGAGATGATTTCGGGGCTTTTAGTGTCCCCGCGGCCCGATCCTCAACTAGGCCTCCACCCTCAGGAAGCAGCCCGTGACAGCTGACTAACACCCAGGTACCTATTTTACTGCTATGTAACAGGGGCATAGGGTGAAAGAAACTCTGCCCATTGTTTCTCCCCGGCGCCTGGGATCGAACCCAGGACCACAAGTCCCGCGTGCTGTCCGCTCGGCCGACCGGCTCCCATCTATATCGTGAATACATCCATGGTACAAGCCTTGCACGAGGCTTCTAGCTACGAGTAATAGTAGTCTGTATTTTAGTCTCATGTTCTTCTACACAAGTTTGATTCATTGTTTTTTATCTGCTGTTGGATTATATATAAGACTTGGCATAACATTAGCTAGTTAAAAGCACTTTAATATTGATCGATTTCACGTGGCTGCACAAACGATGGAAAAAGCACATTAGACCAGTAAACAACAACAATGTTCTTGCATCATAAACATTACACTAGTAGTTTCCTGTTACCAGGGGCAGGAAACCAGCTAGGCTTATCAAGCCCCTTCCCCCCCTCCCCTCCTCCCCCGGTCAACAACTGGCCTTTCCCCAGGATGCATCCCACAACAGTTGCCTAACTCTGGCACCTATCTACTGCTAGGTGCACAGATACCAGGTGCGAGGAAATGTGGCCAAGGTGTAATAGGCAGACGCGGGCCAGAATTCATCAAGCAGTTACGCACGAAATAACGAACCTGTTAGGCTTTCTTTACATTTATTAAAACGGTTTACAAGCCTCAAAGTTCTCGAGATTATGCAATTTCTCGAGTTATAGGTTGCTATTAACAACCTTTTGGTATTATGGAGCGTGATATGATCACTACGTACAAAATAGTAACAAATCGACAAAATTGACAATTTTTGACAACTGTAATTTCAAGAACAAGTGGACAAACGTTAAAACTAATAACAAATGTGCCGAAAAACACATTGAAACACTTTGGCAAACAGTGGTAGACGGTTGGAACAAATTAGGCGAGTTGGTGGTGGTAGGCAAAGTCGTCAGTAGTTTCAAAGCGGTGTATGATAGAGTACTGGGAAGGCGGGACACCACGAGTGTAGCTCTCATCCTGTAACTTCACTTACGCAAGCACATACGAACATGTAATTTACCCAACTGCTTGTTGAATCCGGCCTCGGAGCCCTAACTCTCAAAAGGTATAGTGCCGGGTCAGATTCACGAAAATGTACATATCTTCTCAATCTTTGACGGCTTTGTTTACAATTATCAAACAGTTAATAAGCTCCGAAGCACCAGGAAGCTGTTTATAACAATAACAGTTGAATGGGAAGTTTTCATGCTTGTAAACTGTTTTAATAAATGTAACCAAAGCCGTCAAAGATTGAGGAAAGATGTACACGTTCTAAGTACTTGCGTAACTGCTTTACGTGAATCTGGCCCCACATGGGCATCAGACCTTTGCTGACCATTACGTTAATTACGTTTGAATGTCAGAGCTTTAAATTTACAAACAGTTTTTTTATTACGTATATTATTATTATTATTGGTTCCCGGTCCTTTGTAGTGAGTGTAATTGTTATTTTTAGGGTGTTGTGAAGCTGGGATTCAAGATAATCTAGAGCGCTTGAAATCTAGAATTGTTTTTAGAGTCTAGACGCTGTTTATCTTATCGAGCTCCTAACAGGAACCTTGCTATGGATCTTGTAATAACTAAGCGTGTAGTTAAGGTCTACATCCTTAGCTCTTAATTTTTCCATCACCTGATGTCTCTTCAGCTAGGTGAGCGTTGTTATTCCCAGGGAAGACCAGACTGTAGTCTGCACTACAGTACACTTCTAGTGTAGCCTCTACACTACAGTACACTTCTAGTGTAGCCTCTACACTACAGTACACTTCTAGTGTAGCCTCTACGCTACAGTACACTTCTAGTGTAGAGGCTACACTAGAAGTGTACTGTAGTGTAGAGGCTACACTAGAAGTGTACTGTAGCGTAGAGGCTACACTAGAAGTGTACTGTAGTGTAGAGGTTAGTTTAGCAAATTGGAGGCGAGCGAAATAATTACTGAACTATTAAAATAGTAGTTAGTGACGTGATGAACATGTTGAGTGGATGGTTTAGATTTTAACTTGCACGATCGTTAGAAAAGCCTAGGACGTAATCTTGTGGGTGCAAATTGAGGAACTTTCTCTAAACAGCTTCTGTATTTTGAGGCATAATGCCGCGTATAGGAGTCATGTTGGCTTAATGCTTAACTGATAATAGCCTAACCTTGTCTGTTAATCTTAAAAAAAATGGCTGGGAATTATTTTAAGAAAGTCATTTTACAGGCCTTAAGTGCTTTAATAGTTTCAGTCATTACACTTTAATACTGGTGCTGTATATTGAAGGTACATAATACATTTGGCGGTGTTTATAACCCCACGTCGGTGTTCCCGTCCTCTCAACTAATAGGTCGTTTTTTGTACGTTATGGTAACCAACGCTGCAAACGTGACCTAGTGTGAAATGGAACTGGTAACAAATATTTAAGTTTAATATGCATCGACTGCGATAGGTTAGGTAACCTGTCCTAATAGAATGTCGCATTTTGACGTATACTCTGCCTAAGGCCAAAAATTGTACTAGAAAAGTAGCGGTTCGCGAAACTGAGCTCCGTTTTCTGTTTTGGGTTCTCTGGTTGGTTAGGATAAGGGGACATTAGTACGACTGTTACTTGATGTCGGCAAATCTTTCGAGGACTATTCAGTAGGCCTGAGCCTATTGAGCTCTATCATATCTATAATTTAAATTACGTATGAAATCAGCCTCCATCCACTACAACAAATACGATACATCCTAATGCATTCCATTGACACTGAATTTTTTTTTATCGTCTCGGTGGCTCATTTGGGTACTAAGTTTCCACCTGTGTCACCGCGTTAGAGTACCAGCCGTGCTAAATAGTTTATTTGACTTGTCAATTCCTCCGATAATTTTGTAGATGGTAATCATGTCTCCTCCCCCCTCCAACTCTTGTCCAATAACGTGAGGTTTAATTTTTTTTTTTTTAGATATATACAAGAGTTGTTACATTCTTGTACAACCACTAGTACGCGTAGCGTTTCGGGCAGGTCCCTGGAATACGATCCCCGCCGCGAAGAATCGTTGTTACAACCAAGTACACATTTTACTGTTGGGTTAAACAGAGACTACAGTTACGGATTTCCGCCCAGTAAATCCTCCCCGGCCAGGATACGAACCCATGACAAAGCGTTCGCGGAACGCCAGGCGAGTGTCTTACCACTACACCACGGAGACGTAGTAATTCCAGTAGACTTTCCTCATAGCTCATACCTCTTACTCTCCTTCATATAGTCTAGGGTAGCTGCACAAACGTAGATGTACTTAATGTATTAATTAAAAAAAATCGGCTCTGGGATTAGTCTGGTGGCAAACCTCTTAGAGCATCACCTAAATAGGCTATTTGCAAAGAGGTAAAGCTGTCCCGAATAGGATAGCTTGGCTTGGAAGTAATGTCAAGGCTCACACAATCTTTGAAAAGGAAATAAAAAAAATAAAGGGACAAATAAAAGCACAGAGCCTTTATTTCTTGGGGCACTGAATATGGGTTTGTGGATGCATATATGACTGTCTTGTTCACAGAATTGGTTATAATGTCCATGTAAGGGTGATGAAGTGATAACCTCAGCCAACAGCCCCTTACTGGAGAAGGGAATATGCTGTCACTTCACTATAGGTGGATCGCTAGAATTCCTACGTTTCTGATCAGTTTAATGAGATTTAATTCTTTACAGTGTGTGATATCAATATTGTTAACCTGGGAATATGCTAGATGGCACTACTGACGAACCCTATCTATGAGATTGTGACACTAACGTACACTTTTCTTTCCTTCCGGTTTAGTAGACACAGGCGTAGTCTTGCGTTTTTCATTTAGTTATGTTTACGGGTCAAACCGTTAGCACGACAGCCTAATACTGAGCGCTCTGCTGTAGTGGCCTCCCATAGGTCGCTGGCCGTTCGAGAATTGAAAGAATTTAATGCTGAAACTTGTCTATCTATATACCTGACATTTATGGCATTTATAACTAAGGGCATTTATGGAGCTTATAGGTTGTCGAAGGTAAATCAGTTTATTGCATAAAATATTACTCTATGAGCATTTATCAACG